TGCTTGTTACGCTAGTCCTTTTCCAGAGCATATCGTTCAGAGACAAATGTTTGCCCCTCAAAATATGGTAACTACGTAGAGAAGCCCTTTCTAGTCTAGCGTAACAAGCACGACACTTTGAAGAGCTCCTGCTTGTTACGCTAAGCCATTCCTAGTGTATGCCGTTTAAAGGGATCAACTCGAGGAGTCTTTGTCGCTATTAGCTTATCTACTTCATATTAAAGCTCACTGCGTAGGAACTGAAAATCTGGCTAAAGCGATGGATAATACTTTTGAAAAATCATTTACCAAAGCTCAACAGCTCCAGGGTATCTCTTTGGGCTCATTCATAGCATCAGTCTCCTTTTCTGCAATCATGTTCACACTAGAAGTTCTTGCGTTTCTTGTCATCCGCAAGCGATTTCCTGATTTCTAGTAAGTTCAAAGCCTTCTATTAGATCTAACGCTCATGATCACAGCACTACTATTCCAAATTATCAAAAAAGTACGCCCGAGAACTGGAAAGAATACAGTCGCTAGCGATTGCAGCTTCACCCCTGCTCGCAGTTGTGACACCATTTCCGCCAACAAGGAGACAGGGGTGCGCAGCCCCACCTACTCTATTAGGCAAGGTATTCGGACGGGCTTACGACTGGATAGACAGCTTTTAGCTCGCTGCGAACGATAGTTGAGAACAGACATATGGCCAACTATATATCAAAGTAACATTTCCTATACATAACTATATATAAAGATATCATTCTTTGAGAAGAAGTAGCTCAAGAAGGCAGGCCAAATATTACGAAAGTACGTCTATTTCACTTCTTTCAAACGTCACCAAGTAATGACATCGAGAAGTAGTTGAAGCGCATTAGAGGTAGTAACTAGAAAAGCTAGTAAGACAGAGAGAACCTAACGGGCATCATCCTCCCAGATCCAAGGCCAAACGCAACTAGCCTACTTTGGATTGCAGTACAGCTAGAAAGATAGTTTGGAGGAAGCCAAAGTATGTCTTCTGAGTTGACTGCCAGCCACCGGTCTTTGACGAAGATGCGCCCAGAAGGATGCTGTTGAGTGATTGCCCTAGAGAGTGCTGGTGAAGGTAAGTATATTGATCCTCGATTAGTTTCTATGTATGCTCCATCGAGAAGGCCACGCGGGTGACCGAGCCGGTATGGCCGTCGAGCGTGTGCAGCGGCTGGCCAGTCTTCGCATCCCACACTTCAACTGCACTTCCTTAGGCATCTCCTACTTAAACTGATGCCGCACTACGCTTCGCTCTGGCGCAAATACCAACGCTCCATAGTACACCTGCAGCGGCGCTTCCTGGATCCCAGATCCACTCCATATTGCAAATCGCAGTGCGTCATGGACAATATCTGATACTGCCGTTCTATCTACCCTCTTATATAATAGTCAGTGTTAGTGTCTTCATTAAGCTACTACTTAACTTATATTAATAACGTGTTCTAGCTTTTGCAGGGCTAATGTAGCTTCTGACACTTTCTCTAGCAGGCTTATCGCCTCTAGCCAGTGTAGCAAGTGCTTCTAAAAGAAGCGGTGCACTATGCCTCCGTCTGCTAGCATACTGCTGCAAGCATGTCCACCTGCCTGCAGATGCTCCATCCAGTACTCGCAAGCATACGCTATCTGCGGCACACAGCTACCCTGGATGTGGCCTGTCGCCTCCTGTATTCGCATACCTGGCTTCTGTAAGCTACACATGTCTCTCCGCAGAGTGCTGTCCATTGCGTCTAGTAAGCGATAGGTCATTCGTTTCTGCTCTTCCTCTAGTGGGCCACTAAACACCTGCCGGCCGCTGCCTATAGTAAAGAAGTCTCTAGCAGATAGATGGATGGAGGACACAACGCCTTCACGCATAGTTAGGAATGACCCACAGCGGCCAACAAGGTCAGCGACTGCTTGTACGTTGCTGAACTGGTCTCTAGGAAGGCCCGCGGCTATATGGAGCTCTCTAAGCTGCAGTGGCCGGAAAGCGAGCGTGATCGACCGAAGAATGGCCCTGCAGTACTCTACAGTCTTTGCATCCTGTTCTGCGATCTGCGCCATCATCCGCTCGTATAGCGGATCAAGTCCTGGCGGTAGTGCCTGCAGCACCTCTCGTGCGCGGTACAGTGGGACGCCCTCTAGCTCTTTGCACACCAGCGACACCTACAAGAAGGTCCCTTCTGCCTTGTCGCGGAGCTGCTGTTGCACCTCTGCTTGTGACCTTACGTCGTACTGCTGTACAGTCGCTAGTCGCTGCACCTTGTAGTCGACAAACGCCGCCACCGCTCTCGATACATGGCTCGCCTTAACCTCGAGGCTCACCTTGACACCAGCTGCGTCTGACTGCAGATATCGCTCGATCTCTGGTATGTTGCGGCTTGTTACCAGCCACTTGACCCTCGACCGCCGCCCAAGGCTGGCATCAGTGATGATGTGCAGTAGCTCAGACAGGCCAGACGTGCACTCGTCGAGCGCATCCACGAGCAGGCATGTTGGCGGCAGAGCGGTGGCGCTAAGCACGTCCGCTAGCACCTCCCTCAGCGCGTAAACGGCGGTGGGCCCTTCAAACAGCAGTCTGCCCACGGCCTTATACCGCTTCTGCACATGTCGTATAAGCTCTTTCTTCTGTGCGATAAGTAGATAGAGCAGCCCTTGGAGGACTGAGACCGCGTTGTTGAGCTCGGGCCGCGTGCTCTGGCAGAAGAAGTACGTCACCAGACATGATTGAGAGCCGAGCTTTAGTTTGGTGAGTACCTTTACCATCGTCCTTGACGACAGCCTGGTCTTGTATCCTCGCGACAGCTCAGCGATCACACCCATCACCATCGTTGTCTTGCCTTTGCCCGGGTCGCCCTTGATCCACAGCAGCCGCGACTCGTCCTGCGTCCTCCATCGCTGGAAGCTGTCATCGTCCAGTATCCAGGCATAGCAGTCTCGGAGCAGCCTGTCCTTGTCGCCTTCGATACGCGCCCGGTCTTCCCGCGGGTCCGTCACCCGCAGGTCGCGGAGGCACTCGTCGGCGTCCGGTCCGCCCTGGTAATAGTTGTTTGTGATATTGTGGCCGTAGTGGTTGGTTGAATTACCGTCCGCTCGATTGCCTATGTACGTTGTTGTATAGTCAGTTAAAGTGTGCATCGCAGAATGCGGCCTCTAGACGCCGCATTACTAGCCACACCACAGCCGCGTCGTGCGCTAACGGACACACCAGTTTCATGTGGGTCTAGTAAGCACGGGTCTTCGATCTATACAACCTCAGCAAAGTAACTGAGGTTTAATATAAGTATCTAGAGAGAAGCTCGTTATCTCCTAGATAGTGTTGGTGTAAGAAACTCAGCTAAAGATAGTTGCTAGTAATGTGGCAGCTGTAGCAGGGCTCGTTCCATGCCAAGTCTTCAGCTGAATCCGCACAGCCTCAGCCAGGCAGACAGCGCGGCTGAGCGTCATCTGACCTACAACCAAGCGGGGTATATACAGTCCCTCGAGCGTCTGTCTAATAAGCCTGCCTCTATACAAAAGATTACGAGAGACAAAAGAAGGTTCAAACAGAATGGCAGAAACAGCAGGACTTCTAATTGGCGCAGTTAGCCTAACAACCATCTTCACCACCTGTGTTGACTGCTTCGAATACGTCCAGTTAGGGCGTAATTTTGGTAAGGACTATCAAAGAGCGCTCTTGAAGCTGGATATTGCCAAGCTTCGCCTATCTCGTTGGGCCGATGTCGTTGACGAGTCACACAATCAGTGTCGCGTCTCCGTGGGCACGTCTGCGGAAGCAGAGAAGGTGAAGGAGATTCTGGGGGAGATCGTGACTTGCTTTGCCGACGCAGAGAAGGTCTCGCAGCGATTCAAGACCAAGAGCGGCTCCACCGAGTTGCAGGTTTACGACGTCAACACCGACTTGGAACCCAGCCTACGAACAATGCACGACAAGATGCGCGACCTTGCGCTGAAGCGACAACATCGGAGCACTGTGCGCCAGAAGACGGCCTGGGCTTTGTATGAGAAGAAACACTTTGACCGGCTGATCAGTGATATCGTCGAGCTGGTCGATAGCTTGGTACAGCTTTTTCCTGCGACACAACAGCGTCAAAGCGAGCTTGTTGTTGAAGAGGTTCAGGAAATTGAATCGCACCCTGCCCTTCCAGAGATCGAGGCCGCTGCCGTAGATGTTGATAGCCTGCTCCTTTCATCAGTTCAGAGAGCTTTGGCAGCCCAGGGCAGCCACAACTTCACCAGAAACACGGTCACTGGCGAAGCGGACGCTCAATACGGCGATCGATATGCACGGGGAGCACAGCACACCGGACCTGGACACTCATATGATAGCAACATAGCCTCGGGAAAAGCAAAAGTGCAATATGGGAACTGGTATTTGTAAACGACAGGAATATTGGCAGCATTATCGACCTTGTGGGTGATCAACGTTGAGTGAGAGCGTCCTCGTGTGGGTCGTCACCGTCCAGACCAGAACTTCGACAATTACCCAGTATACTTGCAAGACAAGGAAATATCTTCGATTCAACGTTAACCTATAGTTATCAATTTTAAGTAATATCATGATTCTTATACATCTTCACCACTGCAGCACTCGAAGCTAACCAAAGGCTTCTGTTAGTTCAACTCCTCCTATTCTCGCAACTTTGGCATCTGACAAAGATGAGCCTGCCTCTCCCTCCGACGAACTCGCATCCGCTTCCATTTTTTATTGGAGGGTTCTTGTGGTTAAGGCCGATGTTTTCCTCGTCCTCGCTCGCCGTATGTAGCTTCAAAACTCATGGAATAGTTACTTCGCGCATGCCTCCTCCAGGTTCTCATAGCTCATCACTTTTGCCTTACCTAGGACCACCAATCTTGCTAATTGTTGAATCTTGGATTTACTGTTCACGTTCGACAGGAGTCGATTCTGTTCTTATAAGAGGGTTTATCTGGTGATGGATACTAACACTAACAAGTAGAGAGTTAGCCCAGTCGCAACCAAGATCTCGATTAGAGCATGACTAGACAAAGCAGAGTTCCGGGACACCGAGCATGCTCATGATGAAGAATTCATATTCACAGCTATGATATCTGTACTCTATTTATCTGTCTTTTGTATACCGTCGAACACTGTTTTCCCCTTGAAGTTCCCGATCGTGTGCCCAAAGTGGGTGATGGACTCGCCGCCAGCTGTAATACCGCTATATGCAACACTTTCCACTCTTTCCCCCGACCTAATGTTGTGGCCATAATGACCAATGGCTTTGTCCCGGACTTCAATGTTGGCGTACGAGTCACCGCCCAAGCGGAGCATTTTGCCAAATTCCGGGTCCACGGCCATGGCACACCGTTTCAGAAGGCCGATGTCCTGCTCACAAACTTGGCGATGCGTCTTGAACGCCTCCGCATCTGCGAGCCTTAATTGACTGAGCTTCGCCTGAAGCCCAATAACCTCCAGCTGGTCAACTTGAACCTTGGCCATCATCAAGACCGGCTTGGGGATTGCTCCCTTGGATCGACCCGGGGTAGAAGATGGCTGACGAGAGAGCCCTCGATGTGCCTCGGCAACATCCTGCAATGTCTGAATCAGCCAGAAGTCTGCGGGATCTCTGTCTCCAGAAGCATTCATCAATGCAGTCGACGGCGACGTTTCTGTTCCTTGTGCAAGTGTATGGATGAAGTCCAAATATGAGCCAAATATAACCGTATCGGCACCCTCGGGCGTCTCGTTCGTAGTAACAGCTAACTGGACGATAGCGTCGCACCAGCGGCAAAGGCGCAGCTTCAATATTTCGAGCTGCAGCGTTTCCTCAATTGTCTTCCCGGGTTTGGTGTTTTCAAAAGCATATATAATGGCATTAAACTTGTCTATTAGGTCGACAGTACCAACCCTTAGCTGGAAGACCGCTGTCATGCTCTGTGCTTAAGCGGGCGGGAAGGGGAATCGAAAGAGTATGTTGACTTTGCCTAGCTTTGCTGACGTGTCGAGGGGGGCACTTATATAAGATTATGACTAAAAAAGCCTCCTGCGGGCACAATAAATCTAATATAAAGCTGTGCGCTATAGCAAGCCACAATCTTCCCTAGGGCTTCCTTCACTGGATACCAATTGTATAACCAGTGGACTGCACCGACCCCAGCGAAAAAGAAAGTTTGGCGATGTCTTACTCATAAGCAATCTATTATAACACGTGCTCACTTTTGCGTCCAGTGGCACCTATCCGAAGCAGTTGACGCAGGTGGTGAAGATGGCCATTAGGCTGACAGCGCCAATCACGAGTCCTGCCGTTTCAGCCATTCTTTGTGACTATCTTTGGGTGGGTTCGTGTTTCCTAGATAGGAAGAAGATCAGCTTACAGACAATAGATGAATTTAATACGCTCTGTAGGGAGCTGACCCTCAGCTGCACTTATCTTTGTCGCCGAATACTTCAGCCATGGCTGTCACCTAATTCGTTTCCAGCCAGCGTACCAGCCAGTAAGATGTAATCATATACAGGACGATTCAGCTCCGAAGTATTTTACTTGTTTTGTATCACGGGTGGGCTGGAGCCGCTGTTGCTCATTAGTGTTGCTTATCACTGTGTGCAGCGTGGCTGAGGCTGTGTGGATTCAGCTGATGAAATGGTACGAGGCGAGCCTTGCTGCGACATCTCTTACCAGGCTCTTAACACCAACTCTAGTAAGTTATAGACCACGAGCTTCACTTTAAATAGTTATATCAACCCTCATTCGCTTTACTAAGCCCGTACAGAAACCTCTGCTTATAAAATCTACGTAGAACTTAGTATAGGGCATAACGCGGCCGTAGCTAACGCGCCGTTCAGAGGCCGCAACCTACGATGTACACCCCAGCTGATCAAACGACAAAGTACACGGGGAATCAGGCAGATGGCAATTCAACCAACCATTACGGCCACAATATCACAAACAACTATTACCAGGGCGGACCGAACGCCGACGAGTGCCTCCGCGACCTGCGGGTGACGGACCCGCGGGAAGACCGGGCGCGTATCGAAGGCGACAAGGACAGGCTGCTCCGAGACTGCTACGCCTGGATACTGGACGATGACAGCTTCCAGCGATGGAGGACGCATGACGAGGCGCGGCTGCTGTGGATCAAGGGCGACCCGGGCAAAGGCAAGACAATGATGACGATGGGTGTGATTGATGAGCTCTCGCGACCTAAACTGTCGCATGAGGCCTTACTAGAAGCACCCGTGCTCAGCGATAACTCCACGCCCTTGTTGTCCTTCTTCTTCTGCCAGAACACAGTTCCCGCCCTGAACAATGCGGTGTCAGTCCTTCGAGGGCTCATCTACATGCTCGTTAAGCAGAGAGATGGCCTTCTGCGATACGTGTATGAGGAGTACAAGACTGCGGGCAAGCAGCTATTTATTGGTCACAATGCCATCTACTCGCTGCGAAGCATCCTGTTAAGCATCCTCAACGACGCCTCTCTACCACCGACGTACCTGCTTATTGATGCACTCGACGAGTGCAAGTCCGGTCTGCCAGAGTTGCTGCGCATTTTCACTGACACTAGCCTCCGACAGCAGTCAAGGGTCAAATGGCTGGTGACAAGCCGCAATACACTAGAGATCGAGCAGCGGCTACAGCCAGACGTGGCAGGCATTAAAGTTAGCCTGGAGGTTAGTGCCGACTATGTGTCGAAAGCGGTGGCAGTGTTTGTGCAGTATAAAGTGCACCAGTTAGCGACCGTACGCGCGTATAACCCCAGGCTACAAGCAGAAGTGCAGCAGCAGCTCCGCGACAAGGCAGAAGGCACTTTCTTGTGGGTGTCGCTGGTGTGCAAAGAGCTAGAGGGCGTCCCACTCTACCGCACGCGAGAGGTGCTGCAGGCACTACCGCCAGGACTTGATCCGCTGTACGAGCGGATGATGGGGCAGATCGCAGGGCAGGATACAAAGACTGCAGAGTACTGCAGGGACATTCTTCGGTCGATCACGCTCGCTTTCCGGCCGTTACAGCTTAGAGAGCTCGCCGTAGCTGCAGGCCTTCCTAGAGACCAGTTTGGCAACGTGCAAGCAGTCGCTGACCTTGCTAGCCGTTGCGGCTCGTTTCTGACTGTGCGCGATGGGATTGTATCTTTCATCCACCTATCTGCGAAAGACTTCTTTACCACAGGCAGCCGCCAGCAGGTGTTTAGTGGCCCACTAGAAGAAGAGCAGAAACGAATGACCTACCGCCTACTAGACGCAATGGACAGCACTCTGCGGAGAGACATGTGTAGCTTACAGAAGCCAGGTATGCGAATACAGGAGGCGACAGGCCACATCCAGGGTAGCTGTGTGCCGCAGATAGCGTACGCATGCGAGTACTGGGTGGAGCATCTGCAGGCAGGCGAACACGCTTGCAGCGATATACTGGCAGACGGGGGTAAAGTGCACAGCTTCTTTCAGAAGCACTTGCTGCACTGGCTAGAGGCAATGAGCCTGCTGCAAAAGATGCTAGAAGCTATATTGGCGCTGCAGAAGCTAGAAGCGACCCTTGATGTAAGTCATAGAGTAGCACGACAGAGATGCTGTCACTAACTATCACATAAGGGAGCAGAAAGCACGACAGTGTCGAACGTCGTGCACGATGCGCTAAGGTTCGCGATGTGGAGCGGATCTGGGATCCAAGAAGCGCCGCTACAAGTATACTACAGTGCGTTAGTGTTTGCACCTAAACGAAGCATTGTCCGCCGTTATTTTCAACAGGAGATGCCTAAGGAAGTGCAGGTGAAGTGTGGGCTAGAGGAAGACTGGGGACCTCTACTAAAGACGCTCGAGGGCCATACGAGCGGTGTTACTAGCGTGGCCTTCTCAGCAGCAGGAGATCGACTAGCATCCGCTTCACACGATGGGACGGTGCGAGTGTGGGATGCGAAGACTGGCCAGCCGCTGCACACGCTCAAGGGCCATACCCGCGGTGTCAACAGGGTGGCCTTCTCAGCAGCAGGAGATCGACTGGCATCCGCTTCAGACGATAAGACGGTGCGAGTGTGGGATGTGAAGACTGGCCAGCCGCTACACACGCTCGAGGGCTATTCAGGCTGGGCCAGTGAGATGGCCTTTTCGCCGGACGGCAAGATACTGGCATTGATACGACAGCATACGACGGTCGAGCTGTGGGACGTGGAGATGGGCGAAAGGTTGGAAATAGTTGAGTATCCTTCAGACAGGGCTAGGGCAGTGACCTTCTCGTCTGATAGGACAGCACTGGCGTTGGTATCTGATGACCAGGCGGCCAGCCCACTGATCGAATACACAAGCGCGCGGGTGAGGACTGTCAAGAGCTATGAAAGTAACACAATGGCCCTCTCGTCCGGGGGCAAGACTCTGGCGTTAGTAGCTGATGACGATAGTCTCACATTATGGGACGCAGATACAGACACGAAGATAAAGATGCTCAAGGGCCATTTAGGTGAAATTAGCGCAGTAGCTTTCTCGGCAGACGGCAAGATGCTAGCGTCGGTGTCAAGTGATAAGACGATCAAGCTGTGGGACACAGGTACAGGTGCGATGCGGTGGACGCTCCAGCGCCTCTCATCGGATACCATTGAAGTAACCTTCTCGCCAGACGGCAAGGTGTTGGCGTCAGCATCGGACGATAAGACGGTCAAACTATGGGATGTAGGCACAGGTACATTAACGCAGACGCTTGCGGACCATTCAGACAGTGTTTGGGCAGTAGCCTTCTCGCCGGACGGGAAGTGGCTAGCATCAGCGTCACGGGACAAGACAGTCAAGCTTTGGGAGGCAGACACAGGCGCGGTGGTGTACACCCTCACAGGCCATTCAGGTATCGTCAGCGCAGTGGCCTTCTCGCCAGACGGGAAGGTGCTGGTATCGGCATCACATGACGGGACGGTCAATCTGTGGGACGTAGGAACAGGTGCATTAAGGCAGACGCTTGAGGGCCATTCAGACAGTGTTTGGGCGGTAGCCTTCTCGCCAGACGGCAAGGTGCTGGTATGCGCATCACATGACTGGACGGTCAAGCTGTGGGATGTCGGCATAGATATGGTGGCTCAAACGCCTAGGGACAGTTTAGGCGAGGTCCAGGCGATGACCTTCTCGCCGGACGGCAAGGTGTTGGCGTTACTAAATCTTTACGACGGCAAGGTCAAACTATTGGATACAGCGACGGGCGTGGTGATAAAGACAACGACAATCGATCCCGACTGGTATAGGGTAATGGCCTTGTCGCCAATCGGCAAGACGCTGGCGTTGGTATCTAGTCACGAGACCGTTAAGTTATGGAACGCAACCACAGGCGAGGAATCACAGAAGCTCGAGGGACATCCTGGCGGGGTTATGCAATTAACCTTTTCACCAGACGGCAAGATGTTGGCATCAGCGTCGCTGGACAAGACGGTTAAGCTGTGGAAGGTAAGCACGGGTGAGCTGGAGCAGACGATCGAGGGCTACTCACACCATAATAACGCTCTGGCCTTCTCGCCCGACAACAAGGCGCTAGCGTTCACCTCGAGTAAGACTGTCAAACTGTGGAAGAATGGTATGGGTGCGGCGCTGCATACGCTTGAGGGCCATCTAGACTTTGTCCGTGCGGTAGCCTTCTCGCCAGACGGCAAGGTGCTGGCGTCGGCATCAGCTGACAAGACGGTCAAGCTGTGGGATGCCGGCATAGATATGGTTGCTCAAACGCCTAGGGACAATTTAGGCGAGGTCCAGGCAATGACCTTCTCCCCAGACGGTAAGGTTTTGGCGTCGATATCAGGCGATAGGATGTCGAGAGACAAGATGATCAAGTTGTGGGACGTTAGAAAAGGGTCCGTGTGGAAGACACTCGAGAGTCATTCAGGCCCAGTCAGAGCGGTGGCCTTCTCGCCGGACGGCAAGATACTGGCGTCAATATCATTTGATTGGATATCAAATGACAATACGATCGACTTGTGGGAGGTGGACACAAGTAACGTACTGCAGAGGCTCAAGAAGCATTCGGACCTTGTTTGGGCGGTAGCCTTCTCGCCAGACAGCAAGCGGCTAGCATCAGCGTCGCGGGACAAGACAGTCAAGCTTTGGGGGGTAGACACAGGCGCGGTGGTGTACACCCTCACAGGCCATTCAGATATCGTCAGCGCAGTAGCCTTCTCGCCAAACGGCAAGGTGCTGGTATCGGGATCACATGACAGGACAATTAAGATGTGGGAGGTAAGCACGGGTGTGTTACTGGGGACACTTGATGGTCATGAATCCTTTGTCAGGGCAGTGGCCTTCTCGCCTGACGGCGAGGTGCTAGCGTCGATATCATACGACAAGGTTCCAACTACCCAGGTACCACACGGTAAGATGTCATACAACGAGGTAGTCAAGTTATGGGATTCCAGTACGAGAGGGTTGCTGCAGACGCTCAAGGGCCATTCAGACAAGCCCAGCGCGACAGCCTTCTCGCCTGACGGTGAGGTGCTAGCGTTGGCATCAGGCGACGGGACAGTCAAGCTGTGGGATGCAAATATAAGCGCTGCAGGCGCAGTACTGCAGGCTCATCCTGTTGATGCTACTCTTAGCACGCTCTTGTTCTCTGACGACGCAGCCTTTCTGCGCATTCACCGCGGACCGATCCATACCGGATTCTCCTTTACCGCATCCTCGCCATGGCAGACAATCTCACCTAAAGTCTTTATCCGAGAGCAGTGGATGGAATACCAAGGCTCCAAAGAACTGTGGCTTCCGCCAGAGTATAGAGCCACTTGCGTGGCTACCGGAAATAACATCCTTGCATTAGGACATGCGTCGGGTCGAGTCACATTTATTAAATCAAGCATCTACCTTTCCCTGCCTGCGCCTTCAATTCGGACTGAAGAAACTATGAAGAGATGGGGACATGCAACTCAAGAATTTACCCGAAATCTCGACACCATTCAGCCTGGACCATCAGATTTGGCCAAGTCTTTGCAAAAAAAGGACTATAAATCTGCTGAACTGCTCGTGACCGAAAACTTTGATGCTGTTTCTGCAGACTCTTATGCCTGGTTGGGTGAGTTGAAGGAAATGGGGTACTCTCTAGACGATATATCGCGTCTCCTCAAAGAAGATACGGAAAACTCTCCGTGGATCATAATTGAGCGCCAACGTACAAGATCCTGTCGTATCGATCGCAAGTACCACATGAATGGATGTGTCCATTTTCGTGGTCAGTGGGCTTCTTCTCAGCATGATCCAGAGTGTATATCTGTCGCCTCACTTGATGCTGATACGGAAAGAAGAGAGAATGTTATTAGAGTTATCCAAGAGTATTGCGGACTTGCAGGTATATCCCCGCACTCTCAAGATCGCTCTAAGTGGAATGGTTCAGTCTGCTTCCATGAAAATCTACAGGGCTCCACAGCGATGTACGAAATCCGTGAATCCAACGGGAGGTCGGTCTCAGGGCTCATCGGTCGAATTAGCAATGCCTTGGCTGATTTCTGCCACGCTGTAGGATATGCCCAAAAGGCGGGACTCTGCTGCAGTAGTTTCACCATTCTGCGTAAGTTCCTCACGGATGATCCACCATACCAGGCGTACGTGGATGTTTGTCGTATTGAATTGGGGCTTGTTGCATCCCTTCTTCAGCAGATTTCCCTGGTTAAGAACCTCCTCGATGAAAATATTGGCACTTCAGAAGACTTTGACAGCTGCATGCAGCTGGTTGAAGATATATTCAGTTCGATCTGGACGAGCCCGCAGATACTAAATGACCGCTCTAGCGGGATCGACAAGCGTATGCACTTCCTGGCTTTGGCTGTGCAATTTCTGTGTCTTGGATTTCTCTCCTACATTCAGGCGCATACTGGTGCACTTAGACCATTTTTCCTCGACCGACCCCAGAAACGCGTTGTAATCATCGGTACGGGGCACTCTACCCCTAGCCATGATTATCCATCTATCGAAGCGGAACTAGTTCAGCTTACCTGCATGGGTGATATGATCAAGGATTCCGTTCTTGCTTTCAGCTTCGCTCATTCTGAGCCTAGTGCCAGAGTAACAGAAGAACGATTCGATATACTAGCATCTCCCGAGGATATCATTGATACCTGGGGTCCAGGTTCATTTTTGATGGATATGAATGTTGGGAGTCTAAAAAACATTCGCGCGATCACTATCGGGGGTGGGGCAATCAGCGCATCGGGAGAAAAGGATGTTAGCAGATTTCACTGGAGTCCAGGTTTACTTCTATCCAACCTGCCAGCGATTTGCTTTGACAGTGTTTCGAAAATTGTGATTGGTAGCTTGACGACAATCAAAACAAGCTGCACCGAGATAGAGATCGATAGATGGACACGATCGACTACCAATCTGGATCACATCGGCTGCTATCAAGCCTATTGGGATGTGATCGAACGACAAGCTGGGCTGTCTCCTGGACAATATGTTAGCGCGAGCTTTCTTCAAGTTTGGAGTAAGAGGCCAGGTTGCAATTTGAAAGAATCTCGGCTTAACCACTTGGTCTATGGTCCTCCGTCTTTTTTGCCACTACCTTTTTTGCAATCTCCTTGGGGACTTCAAGTAAGTTTTTGCACAGGAGTGGCACGAAGAGTTCCATTGGTAGAAATGCTGGCGGATGTTATGCCTGCCTTCGTAGGCTCGCTATCTCCAATACCCTGGTTATGGGAAAGTCTCAAATCACATCACAACATCCTGGATACCTTTCGCAGCGGTGACATCAAGCAATGGCTGGATAGTCTTGATAAAGATCACCAAACGTTCGTGATCAAGATCGTCTCCTATATCCTTTCGGTTTTGAAGGACACTGGTATTGACAATAAGGGAGACATCTTGTCGGTCGCTTGGGCGCTGGAAGGTAAGGACATATATTGCTTCAAAATTCCTTGCAAAAGCAAGAGCTATTGGGCAAGGATTCTGGTAGACTCCAAAGATTGCGCCACATTCGCCTACATCACACAGAAATGTCTGGAGACGGACAGTATTAAATGCCGCGGCCCCATTCCACCTTGGACGGACATTAGTGAATTGCTTGACACTGCGGTGTGCCTGTCCAGCAACGGGAGAGCTGGACCATCCAATTCGAACTCCGTTAAGCTACAACACTCTAATCATTACTTGATCGGCAATCCTGATGAACCTTTGTTAGCGAAACTAGAATGGCCTTCGCAAGCTGGTACTCCGCGTCTTCAAGTTCTAGAGAGCAAGATACCAGTCCCGGTACGCCTCAGACTCCAGGCAGATGGATGGAAGCGAAAAGAGCGTCTTAGAGAGAAACAAGAAACGGGGTTTCCAGCAAAGAATGTCTTGATCTCAGCTTACCACTGTATGGTGTAGGCTAACAGACCTCAACAACAAATGTTCTCTAAATGAATCTTTTCCTCGTTGTCACCAGACAATACAATTAGCATCTACCTTGTGATATAAGCCTAAAATACATAGTTAGAGGAGATTATGATGCATAGATGATGAACCCGAAGAGGATGCTTGGGGTCTTCGCTCACCATTGAAGGCCTTGGAGGAACTTTCATAAGAAACATAACTATACATAATACGTGAACCAGATAGAAGCCGAAAAACATGAACACGAGTGACTACGGACGGATTTATTGCAACTTACATATTAACACTCAGTAAAGGTGTAAGTAGGGTGCTCTGGACACCAGTAGCAACCATGCAAGCGGAGTAGGAATGAGCTAATAGAGAATTAAGCCGTTGGAGTCGTACGGAGGTTGGCTAGTGTATATGCCTAGTCACGTGACGACGACACGTGACTCACTTCAATAGTTAATATAAGCGTAGCCCTTTACGCTTTAGGGTACAGAAAACATTATTTTGATACAGTGCACAACTTCGTTTTTGTTCTTGACTATCGTTCGCAGCGAGCCAAAAGCTGTCTATTTAGTCGTAAGCATGTCAGAACACGTTGCCCGATGCAGTAGGTGGGGCTGCGCACCCCTGTCTTCATGTTGGCGGAAATGATGTTGCAACTGCGGGAAGGGGTGAAGCTGCAATCGCTAGCGACTGTACATTGCAAGGAGGACGTGCATCAGAAGGAAAACTGTATAGGTAGTGAATCGACGCTACTGTATATGCCCAGGAGTTTGCGATCTGGACGCGTGGGAGAGATGGCAATCTCGACCCCGGAACGCGACCGCGACCGCGACCGCGAAGCGACATCCCTGCCAACCGAGCTACCA